TCTCAAGTGATAAATGGTTGCACATAACTCATATGACTACCATTTTTTTAACAAACTTCATATAGTATTGGTAATGTCATGCTTTCTATCTTTTCCAATACTTAACTACTAATGATAAAAATAATTAATGCAATATGAATGTGACTACTCAATCTCAAGTACATGACCCCATTTTTTTACTAATGTGATCAATGCTATTCTACCTCAAATTGAAGATCCTAGCATTAGCTTTGATGCATGGTCTTGAGAGCCATTAAGTCGCATTATTGATTGTTAGTCAACTATCATATGATTTTATCATGTCCTAAAACTTATGTGAGCATGAGATACATTAACATAGTTACTTCTATAATCATTATTGTTGAGTACCAAAGTGTCATTTGAGTCACGCCCAAGGAATAGAATGTTGGACGGATAAGAGGAATTGAGAAAAAAAGTAAAGAGAGTAGAGAGAATAGAGCACACAATAACAAAAGTTCTCTTGGAACAAATTCAGTAACATTTCCTGAAGAAATGACCCCGTATTTATAAGTTATGGTTGGGTCCTTGTAAATGACATGTTCGTCCTAGGAATGTCAAACTTGAATAATGAACCATTAAACCTTTACACATAATTGTAACTGATGTTGTTATATTTTTCCCTTTGTAACCGTTGTTGGCATCATTTTATATTGGTAACCGCTACTGGCATCATTAGTATTCATAACTGTTCAACTGGGTCAACTGATGGTCGCTCAGTTGGCTAAAAAACTTTCGCTTGGTTTATAGATCTTTGGTTGATTTTTCTAAGGGAACCCTTCATGGAGACTTCCTCATCCTTAGGAAGGATTTTTCTATCAGGCAGAGGGTGAGTCATCATAATCTGATAGGCAGCCTTTCTTTGGACAAGTCGTCTTCATAGAAGATTGAAAGCGAGTACTTTGGAGCGACCGTTGACCTTCTCTGCAAGTGACCCATAATTGGTTAATATAGTTGATTTCGTACGGTCGTCATCGATTTAGGCATTCACTGTTTCTTGGCTCTAATAAAATTTTGTTCAGTCCGCCAATGTTCCGACCAAATGAAGTGATGTTTGATGGCTCGGTCTTTTAACTGCGATGATGTGGTCCTCCGACATCTTTTTGGTGCAATCCATTGAACTTTCTCAAGATTTATGCTGTCAGATTTTCAAAATACAATTATAAAAATATTAATCAATCAAAACACTAAGAACATTTGACTCTTTTATCTCCATGATCTTAAGTTTTATGCCTCCCTACGTGTAATGCCTATAAAACCAAAAAAATATTATAAGACTTCCGCTTTTTCACCATACTAGCATGAAAAACAAGAAACCCTTCTAAGCTAAAAGCCTTACTTTAATCTTTAGTGGGTAGCTTCAACCTATTTAGGTTTTTCCTAACTTGCTTTAGGTTGACTAGTGTCTTTCCATGAGCTAACCAAGCATGCTATAGACTATTAACCTTAGTTCAATATTTAATTATAGATGACCCCTTTGTTCCCAAACATGGCAAGTGGATTGCTCTATGTTGATTCACACAATATTGATTCCTATTTTACTCTAGTAACCCTTAGATGTCCTTAATCATGCAAGCAGCCTCCTTGTTTTCCTAAAACTATTTAATTGTCATATTAATATTACTTTATTTTCTATTAGGAAAGATTAAATAATAATAAAGTAACATTTATAATGTTTTCGATCAAAGTTTTTGTCAAAGTCTTATTCAACATAACATGACTCATGCCCCACTACTATATATGATATCACAATCCACCAAATAACATAGAAGTCCTCGCACAAGCAATTCTCTTGCAGTTTCCTAACCTGATGTTGTCTATGGAGACTTAGCAATCCGAATAATTATATAT